CAGACGTGTGCTCTTCCGATCTCCCCAAAACCCCAAAACCCCAAAACCCCATAATATGATATTAGAAGAAAAATTACGAAAATTAATAATCAATAATAAAAATAACTAGAGGCTCAAAAATAAATATGCTAAAAAAATTGATAATGAAATAGATGATGCTACTCAAATTAAAACCATTAGTAAATTAGCCAAATTTCCTCTTTGCTACTCAGTCTATTCAATTCAAAACTCTTTAGTATATTAAAATTAAACAAAGATGGTAGGATATTAAGTTTTAAACTAAGCCAAAAAAGAATGTAGCTGAAAAGGACTAAGGGAAATTGGCGAGAAAAGAAAGTTCTTAAAAATAGATTAATGCTTAAGACCTTAAAAAGCCAGTATCATTCCTTAAGAAAAGACCTGATTCTACTAAAGCCATTGAATAAACTTCTAGTGATCACCCAGATGTACCTAAATAAATAGAGCAGGAAAAACAAAAGCCAAAAGTTGAAAAGTAATTGAATAAGGTCCCTGAGACAAAAGAAACCAATACTTCTCTAGCTAATATCAAAACTTTGTTTTAGGAATTCTTAGCAAGTACAGAGAATTATTCTAAATAAAAAGAAATGTTTAAAGATGATATAATTCAATCAGCTTAAATTACTTAATAGTTTAGATAGCAACTGATAGAAAATCTAATATAAATATCAAAACTCTCAGCTTCGCTTAGTGAAATGTAATAAATCAAATTACTTACATAGCCAACTTACTTAAAATATAAAGATTAGATAGGCTCTTATATTATGGATGCTGATTCACAATAATATTTGAAAAAATTCAATAAAGAAATAAAAACATAAAAAAAAAATTAAGAGACTCCTTCATATTTATCTTCTGAAATCTTAGTAGAAATTATAGGGAAAAATTAAGAGTTAATGAATTATGAGAATGTTTTGCATTAACTTTCAATAATTCCTTATGAGAAACTTTCTTTGACATTAAAAATTGCTTAAGATATTGATAACATTTTCTCAGAAATAATATATAAAAATATAGACTAAATTAATGAAGTACTTCATAGAATAAATCATTACATTTTCATAATGTTCAAGCACTTTAAAAATTGTGGAATGAAAGAAAATTTAAAAAAGTCAATAGATATTTACCTAACTCAATTGAGCTAGCAAGATTTCAATAAGTTATTTAGAAAAGAGGGTAGTAAAGATTATGATAAGATATTTTTGAGATTTTTAAACCTCTAGAATGTGATTTGTAATGAAATTTCATTTAATGATCGCTTATACCAGAGTTTTTAATTATGCAATGTCAAGTTTCTTGACTTTATTGATACTATTGATTTGAAGGCTAGTAATGTTGTCTAAAAAGATTTAGTCTTCTTTATGCTATTGATTGGTAAAAACAATATAAAAACTCCTGTATTTGACAAGCTAAATAATGAGTTTACTCGAAGATACTAAGAAAAAGAAATTTAATTGTTAGACTTTTAAGATGCCTTTATTAGTTACCTCTATCTTAGACGTATCGATGAGAACCTACTATAGTAATTTGGACTAGACAAACTCTCATTAGAAGAGATATTCACAGATGCAAAGCTTAAAACATCTGACTACATCAAATTTTATGAACTTTGCTCAGCTGGTCAAATTGAAAATATTAATATATGGAATTTATTCTTGAATAAGCTCAAAATCTTTAAAGGTCAACTTTCTATCCTAGACACTAGAATGTTCATAAGTATTTCAAATCAAATCTTGCACGTTTAAAATACTCATAATAATCCTTTTGATGAAAATAAAATAGAAGAACTCTAGACAATCATTGAGAAATGCAAGAAAAGAATTGAGGAAGTAGAATAAATGCAAACAACTTAAGTTACCAAAAAAAAGATTTATCTAAACACAACACTTGAGGAATTGATTAACAAAACTCTCAAAAATATTAAAAATTTAGAATTTGAATAGGAAAAAAAGCTATTGGGTAGCCTGTTTACAGCTGACTTTTATTTGAAACATTATAATGTAGCTATTGAAGTGAATGGGCCAATGCATTATCTTAAGGAAATCAAGGATGGCTAAGTTATTGAGACTGATGAGTATAATGGAAGATTCTATAATAAGGTAAAGGTATTAGAGAGAAATGGAATCAAAGTCATTCCAATCAGATACACAGAAGTGAATGAAAACTTAGACTCATTGAAGTAACTTAATGAGAAGATCAAGAGCATGCTACCTAAAAAGAAAGCAGAGATTTGAGAAATCTTTGTTTTCAAAACTAATTTAAATAAAATCTTTCTTAAAATTTATCAAGACCTATTTAATTAATAATCTACTCTTATTAACCTTAATTTTATAATCTCTATTTTATCACTTATTAATATGGAAAACAAAGAAGAACTGTAATAAGATTAATAGGAACCTGAAATGATAGTTGAATCTCAAATTTAAATTGATGAAATCTCCAAAGCAGACTTGAAAGTAGCTATTTAAAATGATGATGAGACCAGCACAATAGATCTAGATCAATCAAGAGAAAGCTTGCTAAGGAAGGATTTAAAGAATGTAATGCATCCTGCTAGGAGTGATGTCAAGAGAGATGATTTTGTTTCTAGAAAAGCTAGTGGTATTATAATTTTCAAATTTTGCAAAGTCTAATATTAAATTTAGCAAACAGTAGGAGGTCATTTATTCAGAGAAACTTTACTAAGATGGGATCAGGAAGTTTGAGAGGGAGTATATTTGCAATGATTGCTTCAGCTATTGGATCAGGTATGATTAGATTAAGATTAAGTTCATAATGTCTATAGGAGTACTGACTTTCCCAAAAGTATTTGATGAAAATGGGTGGATTCTTGGAATTATTATGGTTATAATGGGAGCAGTCAGTTGTTGGTGGTCTCTCTACATGCTTGTGCAAAGAGCTAGACACCATAATTTGTATAGTTATAACGAAATAGCTGAGAAAGCTGGAGGTCCATTATTATAGAGATACTTGCAAATATGCATTTTAGTTTACATCTTTGCTAATTGTTTAGCTTGTACTATAGTTAGTAAGAATTATATTTGGAATGAAAGCATCATTATAGTGTCTGAAATAGTTTTAATTTTAAGTGGAAATATTGGAATGCCTCAGAGCTTCACTGGACGAGTTGATGGACCTGTTACATTTTACAAAGTTCTTATTCCTATTGTTTTCTTAGGCTTATTTGTTTTTCCTCTTTCTTTGAGAAGAGATGTTTCTAAATTGAGATATTTTGCTTTAGGCTCTATCATTGCACTAACAGTGACTTTACTAGTTGTAATGTTTGAAATGCCTTTTTATGTTCGATAATACCATGATACATTAAGCGAGGAAGAAAGAAAAGTGGTTCATTCATGCCCTTCTTTTAACTTCTTCAACTCAGCTGGAATCATATTTTTTGCATTCACTAATCATACTTCACTATTGCCTGTATACAATGAGCTTGATAACCCTGTCAAACGTAGGATTATGAAAGTGATATCTAGAAGTACTTTTATGGTTTCAATATTCTACATTTGTATGGCTATGTTCGGCTACTTCTCAACTCTAGGTCGCACTCCTGATATTATCATAGCTCGAGAAAGCTTACCAGACATGCAAACAGATTTCTTTATGATATTTACAAAGGTAGCACTACTACTTGTGATGGTTGTTAACCAAGTGACAAATTACATGCCTTTTAGATATAATTTATTCCAAATGGTTTATGAGCATGATGATATTTCCAAAAAGTAGAATGTGATCATGACAGGAATATTCTATGCCATTATTTGTATCATTTCTATATTATTGCCAAATGTGATATCAGTGCTTGGAATTTTCGGTGGGTTAACCTCTACTTCAATATGCTATTTCATTCCATGTAAATTATTATTCTTATTAACTTTTATAGTGTTCTGCTACATTAAATTGAGAAATATGGGTGATCCTTTCACTTCATTTAAAAACATTTTGGCAATGGCATTTTTCGGGGTTTTAATAGTTTTTGGATTTTTATCAATCATTGCAAGCTTCATAAAGTTTTATGATCCCTAATCATCATTACTATAATGCCATTGAATTATGAAATAGAGGTTGAGGTTTAAAAATAAATCATTAACTAAACGGAGTTTGAATTATCGAATAATTTTTGAGAATATGAATTATGTTTAACTTTAATCAATTAAAATGTAATATTGGAAGTTAGTTATTGATCTGATAAATCACTCAGAAAGAGAGGAACTTGGATTTAGTACCGCATCTTTGAACGGCGATTTGACCATAGGTGTATCCAACTACGCTAGTTTGGCCAGCGTTGTAGAGAATATATGATCTTGAGAAGAGTTGTTCAGTGGCTACATCAATTTGCTCTGGAGTGTTTCTATTAAGGCATTCGCTGAAGCCCTTAAGATCATTAAGGTTCTCAGCTGTAATGGCACCCTTGGCGAGAAGTGATTCACCACCCTCTTGAAGTGAGTGAGAGATTTCATGAAGAGTCATCCATGCCTTTTAGGTCAAGTTTCCTTCTCTAGTATACTCTTGCATAGATTCTTGAACTGGTCCGTAGATCATGATACCAAGACCATCAATGTTATTATAGAGCTACTATTGGTCAAGTGGAGAGTTAGCATTAAGAGCAGAGTAGAATCCGTCAAGGAACTCGTATGCTTATCTGTCAGTTTGCTTCTTTGGAGTTGGAGCCTTCAAGAAAACTTCAGCCATTGCTTCACCAACGTAGGTACCGAAAGAGAAGTAGTCTGCTTCACCATAGGCAATGAGTGCCTTGGCAATCTTTTCAAAGATGTCAATTCCATTAATAACTAGATTCTTTCCGACGTGGTAGATAAGGGAGAATGGATTGGAGAAAACTTCGGCCATTTTGGCAACAGCTGATAAATCTTGTTCGATTGCTTTACATTAAGAAACAGCAGTTGGGATGAGCTTAACAGCGTTTCCTAGGTCGAGAAGACCAGCCTTGATTCCATCGAAGTTTTCTTTCTTGAATTCATTTACTGAAATTTCAACATTGTGAGCAATGTTTTCAACATCAGTGATACAGGTGTCAAGATTGGATGATTCTTGCTTGACGACTCCATAGATGAAACCCTCAACGAACTTTGCTACTTCAGCAAGTTCAAGGCCAACTGGAGCTGATCTTCTGTGGTTTGGCATGGCAGCAACGGAACTGACTGCAACTAGAGCTAAACTCAAAGCTGTGAATCTCATTTGTATTAAATTATTATAAATGTACTTGGATCTCGCTTATCATATATTTACAAAGTAGAATGTATTCTATCTACTACTTTTTCAAATTTTAAGATTCTTTAAATTGTGAAATGATGGGGTTTTGGGGTTTTGGGGTTTTGGGG